GATAGCACATTTAACCCAGTGTCATCTTGCATGAATATATGCTCTGTCCACGTTGGACTGTGATTAGTGCAGTATTTTAAGAATGGATACAAAAACAACTCATCAAAACAAAACATCTCTAAGAATCTTCATGTTTTTTTTAGTTTTCTACAGTATCAACATGACCCAATGAGAGTTATCTGTGCATCAACCTGTACAATGAAAACAGGAACTAATAACAGATGACTTAGTTTCCTTTAATGGTGCTAGTCAAAGAAACAAGTTCAGGTTAAACAATGGGGCTCAAGTTGAAGTTTATGGTGCAAATCACTGAATCCATGGCAACATTATGGTTTCCTACAGTCAAAGCTGCTCCTCATTTGACAGTTTGTGTCCAATTTTATAACCCTGCATGATGAATATTACAAGTTTGTCCCTGAGAGATGTTTAGATTTTATAGAAATGTGCTTTGGCAGTTCTAGATATCTGACAACACTTTAGTTTGGCTGTTCACTCTCAGACACACAAGGAATGTACAATACTCCCATCAAAACAGCGGTCACAGTGTGAATGATTTGGCCTTTTTTGGACTTATTTTCCCAGACTAGACATTTGAAAAATGTAAGTATCATTCAGCAAAGTTTCCGTTACAGCAGGAATCAGGAATTAGGTCAAACCATGGGCCTGATTTTCAGCCTTGTTCATTTTTATGTGTGTTATAATAAGATGTCTTGCCTGTATGTTTTTATGGTGATGTCCTTAAATTAATTTAGGACTAGATGTCATTAGGAGAAACATTTTAGAGCAGCTTCAGTTTAGCAGAAGATGGATCACATGCTCAAATATCATTCCTATTTTTCACTGTAAGACTAAAGATGCAATTGATAGGGCATCCACACACAATAAACAATGGCCTGTTTTTGTTATGGTTGAGTAAAAGTGTTGTCACCAGCGTGCCTTTTCTTCCAGCCCATTGTCGGTGTCTGTAAATTAGTGATGGTTAAATAGGCTGAAAGCATTGAATGAAAGTGGTTTGAAATCAACAGGTACTTGTTTCATTTAGAGTGGATTAATTGTGTAGTTTACTGAGTAAGTTTGTAAGACTTTAAATAGCTTGGTGTAGAATGAGGTAGAGTAGCCATTATTTTAATGCCTTGGGTGGTAGTGGGTGTCAACTTCATAATTATTGACATTTACATGTATTTGTAATGGAAGATATAATGTAAAATCGTGTATATTTGCGTATTCATCAATTCCATCCCTTAGCTATGACCCTTTAAGGATCACAGGGGGGCTCATGCCAATGCGAGCTGACATTGAGGTGGGGTACTCCTGGAACTGGTCCGACATTTACACTCAAACTCACATTCACATTGACAATTTAGAATTGCCAGCTAAACTTAGCTGCATCTATACTAGAGGTGTGCATCTTCACTAGCCTCACGATTTGATTTGATTACGATTCAGCGGCCAACGATTCTCCATCAACCTCAATGTATAACATCCACTATTTTCTATATGTTACTGCTCTTACTACAAGTGTGCTGTGATTTACAAAATAAGGTTTTCAATTCCTACAACAGTAAGTCTATGGCAGTGGTCAGTGCTCTCCACGCTGATTTGTCATTCATTCAGTTTAGACTTGTGTGCTGCAGCTAAGGCTTAAAAGGACAAACTCTGATTATAGCCTTTACTGTATCAAGGTGGCCTCTCCCCCCCCCCCGTGGCGGCGCCAATGAACTGAGGCACATTACTCTGGAGTTCAACAAGTGACTCTGCTCCTCTGATGTTTTCTAATCGCTCTCGCTTAGAACTGATCTTTATAAAAAATCAGCTGTATTCATATTTATGTTCCTGGATAAATGTGGGGTCGCTTCTCCTGCAACAATGAAGTTAAAACACAGTGTTGAACCATAATCTGCGGGAAGAACTTCTGTCTGCAGGAGTGTGTGTGTTTGCTTGTGTGTGTGTGCTCGTCTCTGTTACTCTTCACACATGATGACATGATTATCACAAGTATGTAGTTATAAATCGATGATGTCGGATCATGACTCTGTTCTGGTCAGTATAACACTGAAGTCCTGGCTGGTCACGTCTCGTGTTGTGTAGCAGGTTTAAACATGTGTCTCATAAACTCGAGAGCGAATCAAACAAACTCAAAGTAAACATCAGTACTGTATGTGTCCTATAATAACTTGTGATCAGTGATGGTGTTTATTGTTAAAGTGTAAAGTGAGCGCAGATCACTTGAGGGAGTGAGGAGGAGGAAGCAGACTCCGACAGAGACTCTGACACAAGACGACCTTTAATGAGCGTCTGTCCTGATCATGAAGCAGCGCTGGTTATCAATATGCAGTGGCCGGACATCGCTAAAACAATGAATGTAGTGGAAAACATGAATCAATTATGTTCCGTCTCTGCATAGATGCAGAGTGGTCCAAGTCTGATGCATCTAAGAATCGCATCTAAATATTTCCACATAAGCATTTTGGGTCCGTGTGAGTTATCATCCTGGTCCAGCTTCCATCATAACCATTCAGATGCACTGGGCGTACCCGGGCTGTCTACCCTGCAGTTGTTTGCTTAGTTGCAGACAATACTAGGATTCACAACCAACTTGAGGTCTCTCGCATAAAATGTGGGATTTCTTGTCTTGGACCAACGATGAGGGAAACAAATGAGAATTAAGTTGCCAAGAGCATATTGATGAACCAATTGACCAGTCAAGTTTGATTTCAGTTTGATTTCATCCCCGACTGGTACAGTTTTGGCAGCAGCGATCCTCCTGTCAGACCCATTCTCCTGAACACAACAAAGCACAAACAAACACTTGTATTTAGGATTTTGGTAATTTCTCAATATTCAATCTACCAATTATAACACAATTTTACACAAATATCTAATTGAATAAAAGTGATGACATTTTATATCCAAAAACGGTCAAAGGTCAGCTTCACTGTGACATAATGTTTTGCAAAAAACTTTCCTGGCCATTATTCAAAGTCATAACTCAGGAAAACAAGGGTAGATTGTGAACATACTTCCTGCAAAATAACTGGTTGGCGGAGGCAGACAACCACGAGTTGGTAATTCTGGTTAATTTACTGGGCTGGCAACTGACAGCAACACACAAAGCCATAAGCCCATCTGATGTGTTTTCCACAATTTCTGGCAAGATCCCCAATTACGTAACTCCTTTTCAGCTGGAAACTTCCCCAGATGTTTGAGTACAGAACGTGCTGAAACCATTTTTGTTTTCATCTGTATCTGAATCTCCAAATTTTGTGGACAGATTCCAAGTCCATAACTTCTAAGAAAAAATATCAAAGCAATTGGTCAGAAATTGGTGCTGCTATGTCTAATTTTTTTTCCTTTTTGCTTTGGGGACTGACTTTTATTCAAATTTCTTAGCTGGACATGAAATCAGTGCGACCATTATTTTTCATACATGGATTTCGGTGGACGCGGATATTTTGCAGTTGGGGGGGGCAGATTTTGTTGAACTGACTTTTTGAAGTCTTTTTTTGTCTGTGTAGTCGAGGGATGTGTGCAGTTTTAGTGTCGGTTAGATTCATAAGACTTTCATTGCGTGCTGTTGCTGCAGGTTCATCTACGTGTGGTTTATTACCTGTTTTATTTATTTATTTATTTTGCTGTCTACTTGTGTTAACTTTCAACTTTCAACACTGTTAAATTTAATATAATAATATACAATTTATGATCAGGACTATATAGTCACTGAGGCTACAAACAATGATTATTTTTCTCATTGACTAATTTTTTTTTCATTTCAATCATTTTAAAAAGAATGAAACAACTTTTTCACAATTTTCTGTCATATTACAGCCTTAATGGAAAATCAATAAAATAGAATAAAAACAATGATAAAAAAGAATTTAAAATAACAATTTAAATAATGTGTGATAAAGGAAAGCATTCTCTCTATGTGGGAACACAGAGGATCCATTTAAGTTCAATGCTCCAAACTGAAAAAGCACTGAATCAAAAATATACTGTCACTGTGTTTTGAAGACTTCAGACTTCACGAAAAGACCAAAATATAGCTCGTTCATCAACTTCATTTCCCTGGGCAAACATGTCCCCAGCTCCTGGTTACTTCTCCTCTGTGGCTACCTGCTCGCTGTGCTTGTGGAACACGCCACACCTGAACCACGGGAGCGTGTGCTATAACAAGGAGCACCACTTCAAGCATTACAAGTTCCTTAACATCAGCACAGCATAAAGAAACCGAAGAGAAGTTGAGAAAAGACTTAGTTGTCAGTTGCATGTTCTCAAAACATTGAATTATTCTTGCAAAAAGAAAAAAAAAGTGTGAAGGAGGCATGGATAACAATTCCAAACTGGCGCCCACCAGTAATTATGATGCGACTACAAAGAGATTTTTGCCAATCTAAAGGGAGAAGGGGAGTGTAGGTGTATTCATTCTTATTCCTTCCTGCTTCCTCGACTTGGAAGTTCAGATTTAGAAAAATAGACCCCCCCCCTTCTTCAAAAGAGAAGAAAAAACAAGAACTGTCACATTGACTGACGCCAATCGTATGTAGCATCTGTGTTCCCACCACTGCTCCCTATAGTATATGCCACACTGTGGCAACGTGGGAAACTGACAATGTCAATTTATCAGAACAAAAACATTCCTCAGCAAGAGGAATACACATCTTTGGGCCCTGGAGACAAAAATCATTCCACCCCCACCCTTACCTGTATCTAAACAGAATGTAGGACATTCACAACACCAGAAATAGAAATTTCAGTCACAATTATCATTCTTGAATTTATCCCCTGCAGTCAAAAGTTAGTGTTTCACTTTAGGAGTTGGTGCTGCGCTGTAATGCCAACTTTCTGAAAGTAAACAAATGAATCAAACACCCAAACAGCAGCTTCAGACCAAGAAGTTCAGATCAGAACCGATCCACATACTGGCCCAAATGATTATCTCTCTGTGAAGCCAGTTTTCCCTGTATATATGAGCTGTATACTTAAAATCTGTTTCTTTTCAGGTGTCTGATCCTGTTCTTCCCATCGTCACTTAGTGTTAAAATTTGGGTGAGTACTTAACCACATTTTTCTGCCTTTCCACATCAGTGCAGTACTGTATATCCACAGTAGGGATGTCTAGATTAACCGATTTTACGATAACTGCGGTTTGATAACGGCACGATTTGATAACTGTAAGACATGTCAAAACTACGATATGTAACTATGGTGTCCTGCCTCTTGCAAGTCACGTTTTGTGTGCGCTAGCCACTGAGACGTTAGTTGAGAAGAGGGAACTGACTCAACAACCTTATTGCCACAAAAAACAAAACATTACTATTTTTCAAGGAAAAACTATTTACAACCATAATACATGAATATAACTTTATAAAATTTAAATGTAATTATGCTTTGACAACTAGAGGTGAATGGCAGGTTTACTCTGCTGCTGCGTTCACCATTCTTTCATTTTATTTACTTTACATTGTTTCCCCACATGGGAGAAGTTCACAGTGAGAGGAGAACTCCTTGTTTACTTTCAGATTCTGACCAACTCAGAGCGGCTGACACACACACACACACACACACACA